CCAATCGTTTGAGCCACCCAGCCAGGGTGACCTTCACTTTTTCTTTAGCTTTTGATTTTCTTTTACTGTTTTTCTAAGGATATTATTACTAGAGATACTTCACTTTTTTAAAACCTTCATAATTCTGTTTTCTAGATAGATTGTTATAATTATGACTGCAAGGTCATTAACTTTTTTCTTGTTACCTTTGTTTCAGCAATATACAGTAGGTCCTCGGGTTACGTCGGAGATCCGTTTCTACGGCGCGACATAACGCGATTTTCGCCATAAGTTGGAACCCACCTACATAAGCACCTATGTCACTCACATGGAGCACATACACAGCAGTAATGAAGTGAAACAGTAAAAAAAATTTAAAAGAAAGATAACAATTCCTGATCTTTACTTGTGGTAAATAAATAACAAAAAACATAAAGCACATATGTATATACGTCGAAATGATGGAACTTTTTTTTTTTATAAATAAATGGGAGATGGCGATAACCATGAAACGACGTCGAATCCGATGTAACCCGAGGACTGTCTGTACTAGTCTGCTTGTTTGCTGGTTATATTATGGGGTAAACAAATCAATTTGCAGTATATGTGTCATATATGTGTTTGGCTTTTTTTTTTCTCTGCTATATTAATTTTTGGTCCAATGATGATCAAATCTGTAGTTGATTTATGAAAGTATTGAATTATTTTGGGCACAGAATTATAAGGCTCCAAGTGAGTCATTATGAATCTTTGGAAAAAAGGTTTAAAATTGTATTCTGAACTATATAGCTATAATTTTTACCAAGAGCAAGAGTTAAATAATTCAAGCAGGGAAATGTTAATTAATTTAAATGAGTCTCACCTGTGTATATTATGTTTCTACATTTGTTTCCTTGAAAGATCACAAATTGTTTCCTTGAATGATCAAGAGTCCCTTGAGGGATTCCTTGGTATGAACTATAGGTATGTCATACATAGAAATAGTAATGACAGAGCATTGGAAAGTTATTTCTTTTGTCTTATGAACTAGAGGGAAAGAGGAGATACTAAACAAGAGTAGAATTACCCTGTGAAAGCATTCTCTTAGCTTCTGAGGGGTATTTACAAATATGATGAGGTAGCCATGATTTTTTCTTCATTTCTTATGATTTATTTAATAGTAGACTCAAGATTTTTAAGTTTTTGCATTGAAATGAATCTAGGATATCAAAGCCAGATTGAGTCATTCTACTCTAGAGATTCTCATATTTTAATAATTAAATGCAAAAAAAGGTATGTAGTATTCAGACTAAATTTTGTTCTGCTTAGAGTATATATCTGGAATTTTTTTTTTTTACTTTACTTTTAGAGAGAGAAGAAGGGAGAGAGGGACAGACACAGACATTGATGTGAGAGAGAAACATTGATTGGTTGCCTCTGTATGAGCTTTGACCAGGGGATCAGGTATGTGCCCTGACTGGGAATTAAATGTACAACCTTTTTTGGTGTAAGGGACGATGCTCCAAGCAGATGAGCTACCTGGCCAAGCTTGTCTTAAGATTATGTTTGCTTTGGGCATCAGAGTTTAATTAAACCTTGACAACTATGGAGGACTTGGAAACTGTAATATGAAGTAGGACAGTGAACAACTGAAGTATTTGGGGATGTTTAACCTGTACATACTAATATTTACAGGGGGAATATGATTGGTATCTTCAGATGTTTGAAGAGTTGGCACATGGAAAAAAGACTAATATGAAGCTCCAGGATTTGGAATTTAGTCTAATTGAGGAAAGTTTCAGGGAGGTAGATTATGCTTTTATATAACCCAGACCATGTAAGCTTTTAAACTACTACTAAACAAAACTTTAACTTTTTATGATTTATTTTAAATATGTTTATGTTGTTAAATAAATGCATGGGAGAAGAAAAGGTTTTGTATTAGACTCTTAAAATTCGGAATTATCTTCCTTACACCTTTTGGAGTATATTATATTAGTCTTGTTATTCTGAATTCCTCTGAAAAATTGCTTTTTGAAAATGTTATTTAAGGAAGTTTGTTTTTGGCATTATTCTCATGACTCTCTTGTTTATTATTTACTCCTTTAGTCTTTCTGTTCTCATTGTTAGTTATTAACTGACAGCTGGCTGATTGTTAATCCTTGTTAATGCAGAGTGGAACGAAAGTAGGTTTCCAGTACATAAAACGCAGAGCTTATTCTTGTATTATTTATTAATTTTTATATTATTTTCCATATGAACAATGATAAATCTACTTTTGCCCCATGTTCTATATAAGTTAATTAACAAATACTGAATATTGCTTTGTATACAGTCCAGAGAATTGCTGTAGTGAATCAGACACAGTAGCTACTTTCATAGAGTATACATTCTATTGAGGAAGACTATTATTCAGTTACAGTTCAGATAAACACTGAAGTGTACAGGGTGTTATGAAAATGTATAATTAGATGATCTGACCTAATTTGAGATGAGAGGGTCAGGAACTAGAATATTGCATTTTAGAAATAATTTCAGCAAAAGGAGATTTAGTACTTTAAATTTAGTACAGTACATACACTCAGAATTCCTGGATTCATATCCCAGCTTTATTACTTATTTGGAAAAGTTACTTTAACCTTCCTGTACTTCAGTTTCTTCATCTGTAAAAATGGGAATATTAACTATTTATTTCATAGGGTAATTACATGTACTTAGTTAAAATTGTGTAAAAGGCCCACAACACTGCCTTTTTTATTTTAAAATGTGCCATATAAGTACTGAAGAATAGTATTCAGAAAACAAAGCCAAAACATTGGAGTTTCCAATAATTAACAATAAATATTATTACTATAATAATTAAGATTCTTTGAGCACTAATATGTTAGGCATTGTGCTAAATGCCTTTATCTAATACTTTATCCTGATGATATCAGAGATGAATATTTTAATATCTATACTTTTTTTTTTAACAAATAAAGAAACTGAGGCTTCAGTAGATTAATTCGCCCAGGAACCCCAGTTAGCTAAGAGGTGTGCTCTTAACTACTATTCTCTCTACCTTCACATAATTCCAATGAAAAACTGACCTTTGTCTTATGTTAAACATTTGATAACACATGGTGAACATGTGGGACATTATTGGCAAGTTATTTTTCTAACAATTAAAATACACTGAGATGGGATTTTCCCCTCCATGTTTTACCTCCTTTTCAGAAACAGTTTTGTCCCCATCAAACTTGTAAACCAGACCATTCTAGTATAATGTGAACATAGGACATCTGATTGAATCCTAAATGAATCATTATAAGTTACAAAGATCTTATGAACATAATCTTGTTAACAAGGTAGCTTTGGGATTTTAGGTTTGCGCTTGGGTAAGCATTGCCACTGGAAGGCATATGTGTCAACATGGCAGGTGATACGTGTTTTTCTCCATCAGATACTATATAGAATGGTAATAGTTTTTAGTTAATACACACTTATACTCATTTACCATTTACATATTTATAATTTCCTTTGCTCTCTATTCCTCCTACACTTCCAAGCTTCCACTATGATTGTTTCTTTATTCTGGCCAAAGGACATTAATTTTTATTTTCCTTTGGATATGTTTATGACAAATAACCTCAGTATAATTTGCCTGAATATTTCTTTAATTTACCTGCTTTTTGAAATGGTATTTTTACTTGATAAGCAGTTATTTTCCTTTAGCCCTTCGAGGTTATACTTCCACTAATTTTCTTCTGGCTTCCTTTATTTCTGTTGAGTAGTCAGCTGATATTTACTTATTATTGCTTTGAACATAAACTTTTTTTTTTGCTCTCTGCTACTTTTAATATTTTTTTATCTGTGATTTTCAGAAATGTTACTATGATGGACTTATGTGTACTTTCTTAGTTTTTATCTTAATTGGGACTTTACACTACTTCTAAAATCTATAGATCAATGTTTTTCACCTGTTTTAGAAAGTTCTAAGTTATTCTGTTTTCAGGTATTACTTTTGTCCCATTCTCCTTTAGATGGTATTCCAATTACACATATGTTAAATCTTTTTACTATCATCTTTTCTTGCCTCTAAGATCCCTCTTCAGAATTTGCCAGTCCTTTTAGGGGAAATATTCCTTCAAAAGATGTGCATACTTCTCTGAGTTTTCTTCTTTGTTTAGGACCTCAATCCCATAATTCTTTACTGCCTAGGTCATTCTTAATGCTTTCAGGTAGATATTTTTGCTTTTATAATAGTCTACATTTTCAAGTTCTCACTGGGAGGATTGATTAGTTAGTTGCCTATTTGATCATGTAAAAATAAAAAAGAATATTGTGACTTTTTTCTACTGAGTTATAATTTTAAGATGACTATTTTAAAAAATCTACACTTTTCTGTGGATTATCAAATATTTTTCATTTGTTCATACTTTTAGGCACAGTTTCTCAGTATAGACTTGGATATACATTTCTACTAGAAAGCTTTAAGGCACATAAAGAGATGAATGCCTAAAATGGATGACTGTCCAGAGTTGTACTACATATTGTTAAATTAGGCTTCAAGTAAATAAAGTTTAGCTGTTAAAAAGAAAAATGTTTTTTAAGTTTAGTGTTACTTTGGCCATCCATCCATCTCTTTTTAAGGCCGAAGGAAAAGGTACTGATATTTATCAAATTCATTTAGATTCTTTGGCTATCTGCTTACAGAAACTAGGTAATTTCATTTGTTTTTAAAATCCTTGATTTTATTAGTATAGTAGTCCTTAGAAAAACAAACTAAGAAGGACTTGATTTATAAAGAAAGATATGTTTTTTTTCCGGTAATGTATTAACTCATAATTTTCATTCAAATAGCAGTATACTGTTGTCTTTTTCCATCTTCACAGAACTTCAGAAATGATAACTATTTGTCACTTGTTGCCTTTTCTCTAAATTTATTTTCCTATTTACTGATAAAAAGTTTTAACTAAAATTGTCAAGGATTCCATGCACTCCCAAGATAGGGATAACATCAATCTAAAGACTCAACTCTCTTCTGTCTTCACTGCTTACAGACAGGGAACACAATCTCTTCAGCCTGGACCTATGTAGAAGAATTTGGAGAAAATAAACAGGTAAGAGAAAGTCTCTTAGGAATATTAAATGATATATTTAGTTTTCAGAAAGCCAATTTTAAGTTATTCTTATAAGGAGAAATAAAATTCTCCAATAAAACCTTGTGAAATATTTTTATTATTATAGTTTTATTAATTATAAACCCATTAAGCAAAGTTTTAAAAAGTTAAACTGGTTTCCGTATTTCAGGTCTTCTCAAAACTTTTAACATGCCTAGTGTACATTTTAAATCACCAAGATGGTAAATTATATGTTAAAGTCGATGTAGTTGGAAATGGGTATGTTATGTATATAGATTATCTAGCATTTCTCAAACTTACCCAAAAATAGAACTTTAATTATTCTCAAATTTAGTAATCTAAAATTATTGTTGATAGGATTTAGAATAAAAGTTATATTTATGAGGATTCACTCTATAGTTTTTTCAACATGGAACTGAGAAGGATAAGCTTTAATAGGAAATTACAGGTAGTTTATAGTTTGAGTAAAGATTATTACTATCTAAACTCCTTTTTACATGTAGAGGCAAAAAGAATGTTGTGACCCTAGCCGGTTTGGCTCAGTGGATAGACCGTCATCCTTTGGACTGAAGGGTCCTGGGTTTGATTCTGGGCAAGTGCACATACCTTGGTTGCAGGCTTGATTCCCAGCCCTGGTTGGGGCCCATACGGGAGCAGCCATTCGATGTGCCTCTCTCATACTGATGTTTCTCTCTCTTGTCTCTTTCCCTCCCTTCCATTCTTTCTAAAAATCTATGGGAAAATTTCCTCGGGGGAGGATTAACAACAACAAAAACTGTTGTGGTTGTGTGGGTAGCAAACCATATACTAACTAGTTCTGTGTTCTTGAATAGGTTACTTTACCCTTCTGTGCCTTAATTAATCCTGTTAAAGAGTAAAATAATAGTACTTACCTTGTCAGGATTAAATAGTGTTGATAAGTGTATAGTTATTTTTAGCACTTAGTAAGTGCTCAGCATATAATAGCTTTTATTAATATCATGCTGCAGATTCAAAGAAATACATTTGTTATGCTTTAGACATAACTGTTTTTATAGATATTAGCATAAAAATTCCAATATATGGTATTCCCAGAACTAAAGGGTGTCCCAAAATTCACGCAAGACGTAATTTTGATAGAAAACACAGGTTTATAATTAAAAATTGTAAATTTTTTATTGATTCATAAAGTATACAGTATAGGGTTATGTATGGAATAGCACATCGGGTAAATGGCCTCCACGGTTTTGCTGGCACATATGCAAAGCCGTGGTCTTCATTGTCCCTGCTCCTGGGCCATAATTGGTACTTGGTAATGCTTACCAAATTGAAGGGATTGAAATCAAAGGGCAACAGATATTAGAATCTGATTCAATAAACCAAGTAAAATTAGGCTTTTTAATTTTTTTAATATATTTTATTGATTTTTTACAGAGAGGAAGGGAGAGAAATAGAGAGTTAGAAACATTGATGAGAGAGAAACATCGATCAGCTGCCTCCTGCACATCTCCTACTGGGGATGTGTCCGCAACCAAGGTACATGCC